TGAATCAGCAAATGCAAAATACAGTAAAAGCATGCTTTCGCTGTGGATTCCCACAACATCTTGCAAGCTACACAGGATGTAGCTTTTGCGTTACTTTAAAGAGGTGTCTCTTACTGAACCCAAACTTCACTTGGTGTGCTATTTGAAAAACCATATTCCAGGACATGGCTGCCTGACAGCAATAGTTACCTTTGGTGATTGCTGTGTAGCTGCGGAGTTCTACATTGTCCACAAAGGCACTGCTATCCTTGGCAGAGATTTATTAGCTGCTTTAAATCTCAGGGTAGTTAATGGACAAATTGATCTTCCTCAGCAAAGCACTCTTGCGGTACACACACCAGTTTCAGCTGGGACCCAACTCCAGGTTGAGGAGAAACTTGGCTGTGCTTATGGGTTTCTGCATAAAGTTAAAATGCGGAATAATGTGATGCCTGTACGACTCGGGATGAACTCTCTTTGCTCGATGGCTGTGTGCTACGAGGTACACACCGGCTACTTGTGCCTGAAGAATTACAGTCAAAACTCATACACCTGGCACATGATACTCATCAAGGAATTGTCAGAACCAAACAATGACTACGGGATCTGTATTGGTGGCCAGGGATGGACTCTCAAACTGAAGCACTCATAAAATCCTGTGTCACTTGCCAAATGCATGATAAGACAGCAGTGACATGTAACCCTCCATTACAGCCTGTTCCTCTTCCTGAATCTGCATGGGAAAAAGTGGCAATTGACATTGTAGGACCCTTTGATACTGCTCCAATTGACTGTCGTTACGCCATCACTTTAATAGACTATTTCAGCAAATGGCCTGAGGTAGCGTTTACATCGCAAATTTCTTCTGCTACAGTAATTAAGTTTCTCTCTTCAGTTTTTAGCCAGAAAGGTAACCCCAAAGAACTGGTTTCAGATAATGGTAGTCAATTTACTTCCCTGGAATTTGAAACTTTTCTAGCATTTTACACAGGAGGTTATCCCTATATTACCCTCAAGCCAATGGAGAAATCGGACAGTTTAACAGAAGTTTGAAAACAGCTAAACTGGAAGGGCGATTGTGGATACCCTTCACTACTGATTTCTTTGAAGCATGACATGGGCTACACAACATGCCACAACACAAAGAGCACCTGCAGAGTTACTGCATGGGAAACGGCTGAATACTAAACTAAACATTGCTGGATTGTTAAAGGCACGACCTGATGCCCCAAACAAGGATTATGTGAGAAAGACAGTTGAACAGAACCAACCAAGTCTAAGGCTTTCACAGACAAACAGCAGGGTGCTAAGGAACCAAAGTTTGAGTGTGGTTCCTTTGTTAGAATACGAAAACCTGAAATCTTATGCAAAGGGGACCATAAATTCACAGCTCCTCTTAAAATCAGAGAGAAGAAGGGCCCTTACACCTATCGACTTTCTGATGGGCGGGTATGGAATGCTTCTTATCTTGCACCTGCCTATGCACCAAGAGGAGATTATGCCAACACCCAGTCTGCATTGGATGACTTCACAGTAGAACCAACACAACAAGACATTGCACTGGAACCGGGGCTTGAGAGACGGCCTGTCAGACTCAGACGACCACCTGTCTGGACTCAAGACTATGTTATGTAGTATCTACAGTATTTTCAGTGTAATATTCCTGCCAACAGGATAGTGTCTTGTTTCATATTTGTTCCTGGGGTTAGAACAACAATGTTTATTTTAATTTGGAAAGTTTCTTAAGAGAGGAGGGAATGTGGTGTTTAGAGGCTGCATGTGATTATTAGAACTGGGAGCACTGGCTGTTGGGAGTCTGAAAGGACAGGAAACAGGAAGGAGGGGGGAGGAGTTGAGGAGGCTGAGTGAGAGTTACAGAGTGTGCAGTTACAGCTTGATAAAGGGATTTCCACTGTAAATAAAGTTCTGTTCATGTTTGTTAATACCTTGCCTGGGTGATACAACACCTACACAATCTCTCAAGTGGTAAGAGGAAAATGAGAGTGATATCCCATTGAAGGCAACAGCAAAACTTTAATGCAGCCAGAATTTCACCCTGCAAGCCAAGGTCCTTGGGATATACCGCAAACTCTGGTATTCTCAAACTGTTTGAACAACAACCCTTACTGTGCCTCAGTTTATCCATGAGGAATGGGTATAATATTGACCGACGTCTTGGGGTGATGCTTAGAGAGCCCTTTACCTTGAGTGGAAAAGTGTTTTACACTAAAGTGCTGATTGTTTGGGCACTCGAAAACTTCTCTTGTATGTAGTAACTATATTCTATTGGATTATTTTCTTCTATTTCCTCTTATATCTTGATTCACCTTACAAATGCTCCAGAGGAGATATTCCATCTATATTTCATTCCCTAACCTTAGACATGCAACTTTCTCAATTTTAGCCAATTTTCAAATGCTATCATCTTAAAAGGTCATCTGTGCTAAAGCTAATTTATCCCCTCCTCCCCAAACTACATAGTTCCACAAACACTTGATTTTTCTGCATCATAATTAAACACATTTTTTGTTCACTCAATTACATCAAGAATCTAGAAAACAGAGTTTAGAGATGTCAGATTAGGCAGATACATCACACACCTGTTCATCTGACCCTCCAGAAGCAAAAAAGTCCCCAGTTCTTGAGAAGGCAACACAGGTAGCTGGCCCCTGTAAAACAAAAACATTTATAGATGAGAGCTACAATGCTAAGGTTCAAGATAGGTCTTCAGACAAAAAGTATTAGTATAATTTTAACTCAGTCAAAATCAAAACACTTATTCCTCAATACAGATTGACAGGAGCTACTTTAAATGAGAAACTTCTAGTAACCTCTTTTTAATTTAAGATACCCAGCTCTTCAATACCAAATAGCCAAGTGTAAAAAGAACTACGTAGGTGTTTTAGTGAGAAGCGGTTAAGGACCATGTGTAAAATTTTCAAAATTACTTAAATCAGTTTGAGCCAGATTTTCAAATGGTATTTAGGTACCCAAAGAGACTGCTTCTGAAAATCCCACTAGGCACTCATCTGCATCTTCAGGCACCTAAATGCCCCTAAAATCTGGCTTCCAGACACTTAAAAAACATCTTTTAAGGCATAATCCACCCTTTGTACCTTCTCTGTACATTCAAAATAATGTTTAAGTAATTTTAACATTCAGATTTACAAAAGCTTGGACTCCAAGGAGGAGTCTAGTTTTTAGTCACATACAAGTGAGAAACAAGGAAAGTTATCTTTCCTTGTCCTAAGTGTAATGAAACTTCCTTCACTTCTTTTTCTAACTTCCATTTTAAACTTCAGTCCATTTCCTTCTCCCCTTTCATTTATTAAATCTGACTGAGGGAGGGACTATTTTAAAACCCTTCAGTCTTTCATTTTAAAATGGTCAATCTCCTCTTTTTTTTGTTTGTTAAACTAGTACTTCTAGAAGTAGCACTTGGAGTTAGTGACCAAAGTCTATTCCACAGCTCCCAAACAATGGGGGGGGGGGGGGGAAGAGAGGCTGGGGATGGAAGAGGAGAGCGTCAGCAACAGCAGGAAACCGTGAACATATACAGTGTTACATTTTCAAGAGGTAAAAGACAGACAGTAATGCAACCCCAAACATTCAGAAGTTATGAATCAGCACCTCCACCCCACAAAAAGAAATAATGATTAACTTTAAAGTTGACTTTGAAAAAGCATATCTAACTATTTGGGACTCTATTTGCTTTCTGAGCCTTTAGAAGTCACATTTTCAAGCTTCTCCTCCCCAACTACAAGAACTAGCGGTTTTAAATAACACACCTACTAAGTTGAGATTCACACAATCATGTATCTGCAGGAGCTGGTGCTTTCAGAGATATCAAATATTGTGAGAACTGGTAATACTGGGATTGTAGCCCTCATCTGCTCAGATCAGTGAATCACACAGAGCATACCAGAACATCAATCCAATTATCTTTTTATCAGTATTTTTTTAAACAAGATAGAGAAACCTGTTAATGTAAAATGGACAGGTCTCAACTGATCTATCCCTCTTAAATGTAACCCCATGCTACGTTACTGCATTTCTTCACTCCCTGCTATAAATGTGTAGCTGCAGCTGGCATGAGGGAGGAAGCAGAGGGGACCAGTGTGGATGGGATGGGGAAAGGATGGATGATTAGGACTGTGCATGCAGCCTGAGGTGGGGATAGCCCAGTGCTTCTCTGCCAAAATGTCAGCAGGTGAAGGGTATCCAAAGCTGCTACCTCAATTCTCCAATGCACCAAGTTACTAGTACTACAGCACGATCTTGGTGTGCTAATGTCTCTGTGCTGAATCACTGGGATCTCCCTGCACTCCTCCCCCGCACTTCATTGCAGAAGCCCTATGTGACCCCAAAGCCCCAGTCAATCCGCCATGCCACAAACATCCCCAAAGTCCCACTCATGCAGAGCTTCATCTCTCCTTTGGAGCCCACTTCTCCTATCCCCACTACCCAGCCTGCCTCCCAAGGCGCTTTGTGCTGAGCAGAGCAAAAAGAAGGGAGGCAGGCTGGCAGGCAGTGTCAGAAAAGAGCAGCAGCTGATAAATCTGAGCAGCCCCCTTAGCTAATATTTGCATAGTTCAGGTCAATATTCGAAATCGAGGAAATAACTTGTTTCATTTTAAAAGTGCAACAGCAGCCTGTGTCAGAAAGTCGCACTGATGACATCTAAGTAGTCTGGGACAGTGGTTAGTTAGAGAAACCCACAGAAGCCTGAGGAACACAGCAACATTTCAACAAGGAAGCATTTCTAAAATCAGTTTCCTCTGCAGAACTCAGTAAATATTATACAAAAAGAGCTACACAGCAAAGAGTCACTGTGTCAAACTTGGAAACTAAGTGTAATCATTAAAGAAAGCGGGAATTTTTGCTTTAAGTACAAATCTCATGTCTACAGTGCCCTGACCAGACCAAAATCCACACTGAGATTCGGACTGTGTTAAGTCTAGAGTTGTGCAAGAATTCTCCCCCCACCCCCCAAACACGGTGTTGGGAAATGCACAACGATTACCACAGTTTGCCCTATCACCATTATGTTTATAGAGGTAGACAACATCGGCATCCTTGAAGTCCTGTGGCACTGATTTTTGCTCTCAGATAATGCGGAAGAGCCACGCGAGATGCCTTGCAGTATGGTAGTCACCCTGCTTACAGATCTCTACTGGACTGCCATCTGGTGCCAGTGCTTTCCCTTATGACATTGCTGCTTGATTGTTGTTATTATCTCATAAAATAGGGGACTAGTGCAAGCTCTACTTGTAATGGGCATTGTGGAAGAGCATTAATTGCTTTCTTGGAAATGTTGGAAGCATGACTGAGAAAAACTAAAAAAAACTTTCCATCCATTTGGAGCAAAGACGTGATCTTTTTATGGTGGTCATCAACATCACTAAAGCTTTTGACTCTGTAAATCATGAGGGACTCTGGTGACTTTTGCTTCTCGCTGGCTGCCCTGCAATGTTCATTTCTGTCATTTAGTCCTTCCACGAGGAGATGAAAGCCAGAATAGTGGAAAATGGTAAAATGGGTGTCATTGCCTGGAGTGGCTCACAATCGAGTGCACCAAGCTCAGGGCAGACTGTCAAAAAGCTGGGCAGACACCCCAAATTGGTTGTATGTTCTAGAATTAGATTTCACCAATCCAGTAACAAATGTAAAACTCCCAAAGTACTATAATAGTCTTATAATGGACAGTCCCCTTGGACACTCCAGTCTATCTTGCAACCCAGGAAAGCTAGACTATGTGATAAATGGTCACTTACACCAAAGACCACAAAATATTCAGGCTACTCCCAGTCCCAAGAGACCATTCACTTACCCCAGATCAATTTGTATCTTAGATCTCACACCAAAGACAACGCTTATAGCCAATCCTGTACTAAGCTAACTAAAGGTTTATTAACTAGGAAATAGAAAGGAGAGTTATTTACAGGTTAAAGCAAGCAAGCATATATACACAAATGAGTTTCAGTCTAATTCAAACGGTGACTGTTGTAGTCATCTCAATTCAAAACATCTTTCAGGGCTAAACTATACCAAGTTGCACAGGGGTCTCTTTGCTTATGTTTAGTAATCTTTGCTCTTCATAGTCCAGACAGCATAGAAGAGATTCAGTTTCTCCTTGTCAGGGATTTTTATCCCTCCACTCCAGAGCGCAAACTGATGGAATGAGTTCATGCATAGGTCCCGCCTTCCTGGATGGAGTTAGCAATGCAGTCAGTCAACAGGGCTTCTGTCCTTTGATGCTATACAATACCTCAGTTGCTTCAATGGGACATCTTGTATGCAGGACAAGCATTTTACCTTAATTAATGCTTTTTGTCCTGTTTGGCAAATTACCCAATTACAGAAGTTTACAATGCAAATACTCAATATAACTTTATACCATGGGCTATAGAGGTTATAAGTGAGATCAATACATGCAGCATCCTACACGCATTGTATAAAAGTCTAAACACACTCTTATCAACTTAAAATCTAATATCTATTTTGATTATGCTAACACACTGGTAAGCAAGACTTTTCTAGCTATGCATTTGTAAGTGTTCAGTGAGGCCTGGGGCCTTGGCATGAGCTGGCACCTGGTCTGCCAGTCACCATCAAACCCCTTTCCTGTCACCAACAGCTCCAAACAAGGTGGTGTGCTGGCTTCCACTCTTTTCTATCCTTTGTTCGGCTATGCTCATGATGCATCTCATGACATTGATGGAGTATTTATCTACTGATGGAAAGACATTCAAACAGCAATGCTTCCATGCTCATGCAGAAGAGGCAGATTTATTCATTAAGGAGCCTTTATTTGCTAATGACTGTGCACTGCTTGCTTGCTCAACTGATGACTTTCAGTTTATAACTGATCACTTCGCTCATGCACTTTGATTTCACAATCAGTCTAAAGAAAACTGAAGTGCTGTAGCAACCTGTGGCGGGGGATGTGCATGTCTACCCAATTACTAAGATCAACAACACTCCTCTCTGGTGCAGCCTTTTATTTATTTAAAATGAATTTTGTAATGTGGTATTACACCACCATGGGTTCAGCTCTGGCAGCTACAGTTTCAAGCTTAATAGAGTGAAAGTTATCTCTGCTACTTGCTTTAGATTTAGAGTCTCTAGGAACACGTAGACCAAGGGTAGTGACCACACATATATTCATAAGTACAAGGTCTAGTCTGTTTTATAAGTTTTATTAAAAAGTTACAATCAAAGTTATTACCTAAGTATATAGAAATTCTGTACAAACCTATACACACAAGTTACAAATATAGTTATGCTCACATCCTTAACAACAGTGTTTGGGTCTGATGGGTCGCTCATAATTTGATCAACAGTAGAGGAATGGTTCCTGCTAGAGTCTCCCATAGGGAGCCTGATTTTCCCGTTATGGGCATCTCATTTTTATAATATGATTCTGTCTCTACCTACATTTTGTGCATGTCCATAAAAGGGTCAACCCTCTTTTCTCTTATTGCTCGGTGTTCCCTGAAAACTTAAGAGACCCCAATTTTCCATAGGCTGTGTAAGGTCCCTTTAGTCTCATTGGCACGGACGCAGAACCTGTATCCTGTGGTTAAGACATATTTCGGAGACCGATGCACCTTTACAATATTTTTATGATCTAATATTAATCTTCTGGGTGATTGTGCGCATTACCACC